CAGCGAGATTTTTTAACGCTAATTCGGTGCAACATATCTGTTCTAGACAACCGCTGTTTCCACAACATACTCTGAGGCAAAAACTGATGAGCGTCAGCTCATGAAGAAACAGTCTCGCTGCTGGTCTGGGATTATAGTAGAAAAACATTAAAACACAAACTACAAATGTCAACCTAATTTTGTTTTTCTTACGTGAGAAAATCCAACACGTTCTACAGCTAAGTATGGTTTATTAAAACAATGATACATGAACAAACTCGTCCCCTGCTGTTGGCTGGAGAAAGAAGGTATGAAAGAAGTGTAAATGATACACTCCATTGTCTGGTGCTGCTGTGACTCTTGTTGAAATAATGTAATTGCTGGAAATAATAAAGACAGAGTTTCTTCCTCATACTTTACTGATCCCACAGGTGATAGTACAGCGACAGTATTGTTCGGAGTGGAAGTGGTCTGGATATGTGTTGAGCAATGATGACACAATTGTGTATGACACAAGGAAGGAGTGTGTGTGTTTGTGTGTGTGTGTGGGTGAGAGAGAGCCAGCAGGAAGTAGTCAGGCTTTTCTGTAAAACAAGTGCCGTCTTGTTAGACCTGCTCCGACGTTTAACATTCTTAGTCCGTCCTATAGAAGTCTCTGGGTTCTAAACTCTTTTCCTAGTCCTCCACACCCACACCACTGCTAACACCTGTCAGGTTAGTCTGACAGCAGATTTCTATGAACACATTTCACTTGCACAATTTTTACAGTTAATCCTTGTTGTGGTACGTTATTCACGTTTTTCCTTCCTGTAAAGTCCCTTCCAGTCAACTGCTGAGTCATGCCTTATGCTTTATCATCGTGACTATTTATCCAAAAGGAAACTTAAGCCTCCACTGACTACAGAACTGACACACATGAAACCTGATGTCACTGAAGACCAGCCGTGGTCTCAGTGAGCTACCAGAACAGACTTAACAAGCTACAGCAGAGGCATCGGTGGTTTAATGTCATATTTGATGTCTTTCTCTGTGTTAAAATATAGAAATTCAGCACAAAGTAGTTTTGGTCTCAATTCTCTCCAAAGTATTTACACAACCATGTCCACTAGCTGTTTGTTATCGACCTAATGCTGGTTAGAAGTAGGTTAAAGGACTTAACTGGTTATGGATAAGGTTTAGTTTAAGTTAAAAGGATAAGGCTTTGTTTAAGCTTTCCATATCTGACCACAGGTCAACCACACACCTTAAAATAGTGTGTGTGAGTGTGTGTTATTTTTGTGGATATTCTGTGTGTGCGTGTTGTAACAAAGCTCCAGGTGGATTGTGGGATTGGGAAACAATAGAAAAGAACTATTGGTCATAATTGTTTGTGACTTCAGGTGCGGGCAAATAATGCACCAATATGTTGAGGTGGATAAGGAGCTCATTGCATCATGGGAAATTTTTAAGCATTAGCTTTGTAGTAACAAGGTGAAGTAACCTTGTTACTACAAAGCTAATGCTTAAAAATTTCCCATGTATTTTCCATCTTGTATTTTGGTCACAAAAGAAAGGGAACATCAATGGATTAGCCTGCTTTGTAATCGAAAAGCTGAATTCTTTTTCACATTTCACACTTTTGTGAAAGTGCTGTCACCTCTGTGACCTAGTTTTTAAAGTTTAAACCATTGCAACCTAGAATGTAATATTTATCAAAGGGAACAAGGAATTAAAGGAACAATTTCTAATATTATTCTTGTATCTTCCCAGCGCTAACCACACAAAAAACACATTCTTCACTTGGTCTTTGACAAATTTAATTTCATGCTTCATCTGATTAGGTTTTAAATGACTTTTTAAGTCAAGCTCTAGGATGTTTGATTTCCTGACCTCCACCTTTAAACCTGCCTTTCCCTCCTTCCATCTGTACCAATTCCTCTCTTTGTTCTTATTTGTCTTTTCCCGTCGTGAGTTTGTTCTTCACTCGGGGTTGGAATGCAGGGCGTAATGCACTGTGTCGCAGCCGATCTTTCAGCTTTAATGTGAACGTGTCTATTGGAGTGGAAAGCTGTCAGAAGAGGTTACGCCATGAGAGCGTATAGTGAGGGTGATGTGAGCACGGCGGGGGGTGGAATGTGTATGTTGTGTTTAGGTCTAACGGTCAGCGGTCATGTCCACCCTTATAGGAAGGAGCCGCAGGTGCAGAGAATGTACGGGTGGAAATGTAGCTAAATACATTTTAACTGATATATGTTATATGTATGTAGTAATATCTGGAGCATAACATAAGCTAAATTCCTCATTTTTAACTGATGCACAGCGTTGGTCACAGCACTTTGACAACCAATGAATTGTTAGTGTGAATAAAACAAGTGCACCTTGTTTGTAGCTATCGGGTGTTCTGCCTACTGGGTGATGGAGAGCTGTCTGAGGGCTCCGTCTGGGAGGCCATGGCGTTCGCTTCCTTCTATCAGCTTGACAACCTGGTGGCCATCTTGGACATTAACCGCCTGGGTCAGAGTGACCCGGCTCCACTGCAGCACCATGTGGAGAAGTACCAGCGACGCTGTGAGGCCTTCGGGTGAGGAAAACAATTCAACAGTCTGAAGGAGGTCTCTTTAGTTACTGCTGTTACACTATAATGTGAGTGTCATCTGGAGACAGTGTCAACACTTCACTCTGATCCATAAACCAATCTCTCTGCTGTGATTTCTCAGCTGGCAGTCTGTGATCGTGGACGGCCACTGTGTGGAGGAGCTGTGTAAGGTGCTGGGTCAACCACGCCACCAGCCACTCGCCATCATTGCCAAGACTTTCAAGGGCAAAGGCATATCTGGTACAATTACAGTTATATTGAGTGATATGCTCTTCTGCAGAATGTTTTGTTTTCATTCAGTTATTTAGTTACAGTTTATTAAAAGTATAATGATGTTGTTTCTCTAAGTCCAGGATTGTTGAACTTCCAACTGTTTTTAACTGTTGCCGGTTAAAGCTAAGCTCTACGAAGAAACTGACAGACATGGCATGCTCAGAATATCACTGCAAGTACTATGCAACATGAGTCAGTTCCAAAAAGTGAATCACTCTGTGTATGTTTAACCCAGTCATCATAAAACAGCAGCACAGGCCGACAAACCACCACACTCTCTGTTTTGAACTGCTGGATTTCTACAGTTCCAAAGTTCCTCTTTCAAGTGTTCACCTCAAATTCTCAGTGGTATAAGAGGAACATTCACAGTACACACCAGGATGCAAAAAGTTACATTGGTTTCTAACTTCCCCTCATTTGTTTCCACACTGCTCTTTCTCAAACACATTCACCCCTGTGATAACAACAACATTTATCGCCAACAAGTGTTATTTAAAATATACTTTTATTTTAAATACCTATATCTTTGTATCTCTGAATTTTTAGTCCTGTAATTGCCCACAAACTTCAATTAATTCCTATAGGAATTGTTCAAACTTTTTGTTTTATTTTATTTTAATTCAAGCATAACCGTTGGTGTTTGAGCTGCTTCAGCTCCGTAATCCCTCAGAATCTGTGGGATTCACTCACAGGTGCCACCCATTGTACAGGAGCACGTCTGTGGGTCACAGAATCAAGACTGTAGTTTTAGGAGACGAGTACGTCTTTGATCCTGCGTGATTCTAACCTTTAACCTCTAAAGCTGCCTGTTGTGACCCACTGAGGTGGAAATCTGTTTTCCAAGAGACACTTCCTGTACAAGTGAAAGAGAAATACGCAGCAAAATAAGAAGTATTTTAGCTTAATCTGCCCCTACTGTTCACTGCAGGAATAACACTTTTCATTAGTATGAGAGTGAGTCAGTATGTCTCGGTGTGTCTCAGGGGCTGAGGATAAGATGGGATGGCACGGCAAACCGCTGCCCAAAGACATGGCTGAGAGTGTGATCAAAGAGCTGCAGGGCCGCATGGTCAACTGCAACAAGCGCCTCTATCCTGCTCATCCACATGAGGACACCCCTCCCGTCAGCCTCCGCAACATCCACATGTCAAGTGCACCCAGCTACAAACCAGGAGACAAGGTCTGATCCAAGTCATCTCAAATAATATAAATGTGGTAAAGCTACAAATACCCCATGTTATAACTGTCATAATTATTATATTTATATGTACTAAAAACAGATTGCGACCAGGAAGGCGTACGGCCTGGCTCTGGCCAAACTTGGTCGCTACAACGAGCGCATCGTGGTTCTGGATGGAGACACCAAGAACTCCACCTTCTCTGAGCTCTTTAAGAACGAACACCCAGACCGCTACGTGGAGTGTTACATCGCAGAGCAGAACATGGTGAGAAACAGTTCTGATAAAGGCCTTCTTCACAAAGAACCTGGAAATAAGGTTGTGAAAGATCACAGTCAAAAAATGTTTATCATTGCATATCATTATATTTAAGAGTGTTAATATTTGTTCATGAATAAGGAAGTTATTTAATTTGATTAGATTGAGGGCAAAATATTCTATTTATCACATTTTAGACATAATAATTAGGTGATTGATTGAAAGTCAAATTAATTACATATTAAAATGTTTTAGTAGATATGTTGTAATAAATCATATATCGTTTGGCTAATGTAGCCAGACTCATTCAGGTGTAACTGTGGTTATTTGAGTTACTGTTGAGTCACTGCTTCCCTCTCTAATTATTATGTAAACTCTAGAGGCCATTGTGTGGAAACAAAGCAGTTTGTTTATGAAATACTTCGAATGACTGCTCTACACACACATCTAAGTCACATTTACAGTCACTTTACAGCTCTCTTCCTCATTCCGATGCTCATTAACTCTCCAACGTCTGAGTTGTCCCTAATGAAGTGGCCAATGAAATATCATTACATTTCACCATGTTTGATCAAAATGTTTGTTCTCTCCTGCAGGTAAGCGTTGCCGTTGGTTGTGCCGCACGGGATCGTAATGTCGTGTTCGCCAGTACCTTCGCCACCTTCTTTACTCGAGCCTTTGACCAGCTGCGCATGGCTGCCATCTCAGAGAGCAACATCAACCTCTGCGGCTCCCACTGCGGCATCTCTATTGGTCAGTGTTACATCAGAACTATGTCAAAGCTTGAGGTTACCTTTAGATTCTGTGCAGAGGTTTTCACTAACAGCTGTAGTGAGATCTTCACGATTGTTTATCTGATTTCCTGAACTCCTTTTTTCCCTCATCTTTTTCCCTCCCTCCAGTAATTTCCTCCACCTTCCACTCCTGGAACCAGCACTCCACCTCTCCCTTCTCCTTACTTCTCTCTATCTCTCTCTGTCATGAAACAGCCACAGTGGCCTGATTCTCTCTAACCTCTTCCCTCTACTCCTCCTCTTTATTCTCCTCCTTCACCTCCTCAGGTATATTGCACGCCTACTTTGATAGACTGCATGACACTGATCAAATGTACACATTTAGAATGCATGTCGGTGGTAATAGTGTTAAAGTGCCAGCATGACATATTTCCCTCCTCGACCCTCCTGTAACAACATCACCTTCTCTAACATAAAGTCCAAACATGACTTCAAACGTCTGATCTGCCAGATTTGTTCGTGACCTTGTGTACGCGCTGACGTTTAAGACACACATTGATTTGTGCAGGTGAGGATGGGGCCTCTCAGATGGCTCTGGAGGACTTGGCCATGTTCAGGGCCATTCCCACTGCCACCATCTTCTACCCCAGTGATGGAGTCTCCACTGAGAAGGCTGTGGAGCTGGCAGCAAACACAAAGGTATTATCAGTGAAGTGAAACCTCAAAATCAACACCAGGATGTGTTCAGTTCTAAAGTCATTTACGATGTTTTCTAGGGTTTGTGCTTCATCAGAACAAGTCGCCCCGAGAACAGCATCATCTACAGCTGCAATGAAGACTTCCACATTGGGCAGGCCAAGGTGCTCACAGTTAACACCAGCTTCTACAGCGCCACACAGTCCAAATTAAAATGGTGAAAATTTGCCCTTTTTTTTCTCATTTTCAATCCTGTGCTTACTCTCTCTTTGTGCTCAGGTGGTGTATAAAACCAACGACGATCATGTGACTGTGATCGGAGCAGGAGTGACTCTTCACGAGGCACTGGCTGCTGTTGAGGTTCTCAAGAAAGGTATGGAAAATTATGCTGACTGAAAATATACTCCAGATTTTCTACTGACACCTTATTTACATCTGTTACCTTTTTGTTTTTCTCTCTTAGAGAGGATCAACATCCGTGTGATTGACCCCTTCACCATCAAACCTCTGGACTCTAAGACCATCATTGACAACGCCAGAGCCACCAGAGGTCGCATCATCACAGTGGAGGACCACTACTACGAAGGTGAGGGGAGAGTAAGAGGGTTTGATGTTTTTTAAATAGTAAGGTGATGCGTTCAGGTCGCCTCTGTTTCATCTGTTATTGTCTTTAATCTTCCATTGAACTACACGTGATAATACAATTGTCTTTAATCTTCCATTGAACTACATGTGATGTACAATACAAAAAGAAAAAATCACTGTCTTCACTGGGTTTACGTACAGTCGAACATTAGTTCAGTCTCACCTGAATAAAAAGGTTTCAGAAAGAAAACAAACAGATCCACAAATGTCCTGCACAGACACAAACACAACACTACTGGAGGCAGCAGCCTTGTCAGACTTGATCACATCAGTGCGGAGCTCAGACATCTGCAGAGGTGTGAGTGATTCAATGTCACAGCAGGATAACGACAGACTATATGTAGTAAAACCTTTAAAGTAGGGGCCACTTTTGATACGCCTCCCACGTCCAGTCCAAGACCACATGTCAACATCAATTTAATTTTGCCCTTAAAGGTATTTTTTTAAGTAATCTTTAACAATTTATTAATAAACATTTTTTTTTTTCTAAATGTAATCTTCGATGACCTGATGGTGGCAGCAGTGGCCCTCACCTCCTTTGACTTTCACACTCTGGCTTTAAAGGAAAGCTGTTGTATGTGGTGAGGTTTATCAACATCGTTCCGTCTTTATTTCTTCAGGTGGCGTCGGTGAGGCGGTGTGCTCGGCAGTAGTGAATGAAACCGGCTTCACCGTGCATCGCCTGGCCGTCAGCCATGTGCCACGTAGCGGGAAACCTCACGAGCTGCTTCGAATCTTTGGCATCGACCGCGACGCAATCGTTCAGGCGGTTCGTAAGATGCTGAGCGGCTCTGCCAACTCAAAGTAGAAATGTTACAGCAGGTGGTGCAATGGAAACATCGTACAGTGATGTGATGTGTGGTAAACTCATCGTTTACCGTTGAAGCAAAAAGTAGAAAATCATCACAGGAGGTGAAAGAAGTCACGGCCCACACCGGTTGTTAAAAAAAACTACTGAAATGTTTACTTAGCTGTTATCAATGTTACATTTCACCCCTCCCTCTCCTCCCCCTCAACCCACGTTGTCTCACCCGTTTGTGAGTGCAGTAAACACCCCCTGACACACACTCCCCCACCCCAACTCCTCCTACCTCCTAGAAAGTGATGTAGTGCTGCTGTGGTGTTGTAGTAAGAAGAGTGAACATGGTTTGGCGTCAGGTTTTTTTTTCTAATTTCCTCCCCCTAGAGTCAGCAACGTGTTAAGAATCTGGTTTGGTCTGTTTGAGCACTGACTGTTGTTTAACTTTTAATCCCAACATGGATTGGACTGCTTCACACCAATAAAGGATTTGGTTTCACCACGTTTGGCTGCGTCCATCTTTATTTTCAGGTCTGTGATCAATCGTGGATAGAATG